CTTCTCTTGGAAGTTCTGGGTCTGTCTGGCCCAGCTGCAGTTTGTTAGGTAATTTTCAGATTGCAAAGGGCCAGGGCATTCATATGCAAATCCTCTGCTGCAGCCTGGGTGGGGCAGGGTCTCAGGGAATCAACAGGGCAGAGCAAGCAGCTATGGGTGATCCTCAGCCCTACCCTAAGGGGCCCTGTGTCTCAGTGTCCCAGTAATTGCTGCAAGCACCTCTAAGGGAAAGCCACCCTCAAGTTCCTAGTTCTGCCTGCTGTCAGACAGTCCAGTTTCTCCCCATATGAGTCCTGGGTCCCCAGAGACTTCCCGGAACTGGAGGTCAGAGCAGTCTGGAGCTTGTGACTCCCTCCAGATTCAAAAAGACAGCCCTGAAGATGGTGGCGAAATAGGCAGACGTGTCCTAGGTCTTGTCCCAGAGCAAATGGAGTGAGCAGCTGAAACTAACAACACCCACCCCGAACTGGTGAAGTATACCCAGCCGGTGAGACAGTTTGCAGCTGGGAAGGGCAGAGTTCCCTGAGAAAGGTAAAAACCAGGGATCTGGGCAGGAAAGTTTGCCAGACCTCTGAGTTCAGAGGGTCAGAGGGAGACCGAGCGCGGCACACAGCCGCGTCTCTTGGGACAGACAAAAAGACAGCTGTGTCCTCAGGTACCAGCCCCTTCCCTTGCGTGCTCGAGCCTCCGTACCTCTGCACTTCACTTCCTCAGCTCCTCTGAGTCTCAGTGTGCTTTTCTCTTTCCTTCTAGTTGTAGGATTTCCACTCAACCAGCCTTCCTGTAGTTCTGGATGATGTCCATTTTGTCTTTTCATTGTATTTTTGAAGTTGTTGTGGGAGGCAGCAGTTTCTGGTGTTTACCTATGCCGCCATCTTGGTTTTTCCTAATCTTGAGTGGTTTCAATCTCACAATTACATCTAAAGACAAAACCATGATTTCCTATCAGATTTCTTGTGTGTGGCAGATGGAGAAGAGGCAAAAATAAGACTTCCCTTCTCAGCAATCAAATGGAAATAAGAGTATGGCAACCTATTTTACTTAACACCTATGCAAAATGACCAAAAATTTTATATAAAGTGTCATTATGTGTATTCAAAAACTAGGCCTACAGAAAATCAGAAGAAAAATTACAAGTAAGCATGTGATGATGATGATGATGATAGTGGTGGTGGTGATGGTGATGGATTTGGTGATGATGTTGATAGAATTGGACAAAGATCATGGTCCAAAGTTCTGGACGGAATCTGTACTTTATCCAAGGTCATCAGTTTTTAGAAGGCCTTGTGTGAACTTAGAGTTGGGCCTTTGAGGGTTGAATTTTCCAATGGCATCTAAAGAGGAAGCACCTGCTTTCTTTTCCTATAAAAAGTCATTCTGTGTCGACAACCACCATGTCTACAGAAAATGAGAAGAGTGAATAAAAATAAGCAAATCACAAACACTGGGGCGGTGAGGGCCTGGGGCAGGGGGTGTGGTCATGCGGAAAGAAAAAGCAAATGGCGATGATTCAGATTATGACTATGATGGAATGAGACACGGGTCTTGGTCCAAGGAAATTATGGCACAAATGCAAACACACCTTCACCATGGCTCCTCCAGTGAGAGGTATCTACTCTTCCCTGCAACTATTGTGATATTTCATAAATGGGACCCCAATGAATTATGCAGCTTGGGTGACCCAGGTGTGACCATATCAATAATGACCCTAAAAGTGTCCAAGTTCCGATCTCCTGGACCTGGGAAGGTGCTACCTTCTAGAACAGAGACACTGTGAGAATGTGCATGTAGGAAACAGGGTTCCCCTTCCCACCAGTTTGAAGTGACATGCTCCTTATCTCTCTTGATCCCTGCCTGCATGACCTTAAATGATTTCATTTCTAACAAACTCCTGCTCAAGCTGTCAGCTGCATCCAGGGAGGATTCTTGCTTTTTCGCTTTGGCTCTAACTCCCTGTATTCTCACAGGGGACACCAGAGGAGGAGGTCACATTGCTGTTGGCAGATGTCATATTGGCAGTGACTGGGGACTCTCCTTCACCAACATGATACTGTACATAGAAAACCCGAAGGACTCAACCAAAAAAACTGGTAGATTTAATAAATGAATTCAGTAATGTAACAGGATACAAAATTAATACCCAGAAATCAAAGCTATTTTTATACACCAATAATGAATTCTCAGAAGGAGAAACTTAACACACAATCCTATTTACCATTGCAAAAACAACAGCAACAAAACTTAAGATACTTAGGAATAAATTGAACCAAGGAGGCAAAAGACCTGTACTGGGAAACCTACAAAATGTTGAAAATAGATATAGAGGAAAACATAAAATTGGAAGAATATACCGTGTTCA